CTACTACTACTACTACTACCATCTACTACCACTACCACTACCACTGCTTGACTGCTGCTACTACCATAGCTTTTATTACTGGTACAACCACTGCTGCTACCACTGCTACTGCTACTACGGCTACTTTTATTATATGCATTATTATTATTGTTATTATTACTACTACTACTACTACTACCATCTACTACTACTACTACTACTACTACTACTACCACCATCTACTACCACTACCACTGCTTGACTGCTGCTAATACCATAGCTTTTACTACTGGTACAACCACTGCTGCTACCACTGCTACTGCTACTACGGCTACTTTTATTATATTCACTATTGTTAGTATTACTACTACTACTACTACTACTACTACTACTACTACTACTACTACCTGTGGTCTGGTGGGTGATTTGTGCGCGTTTTGCCTTCTCAGGCTTCATGGATGCGAGAAAATGCTAGAATATGGGCATGTCAGGAAGCATTCGGGTTGTTAGTGCAAACCTTGCTGGTTATTGAATGGTCCGGTAGAATGGAGGTGGAATCCCCACAAGCAGGAATTGCTGTGAACTCTGTTGTCCAAATCATCTTCATGACGGAAAGTTGGGGGAAGCTTCTTCTTGACCATGAGCTGGGAAATCGAGTTTTTAGGTGAACACCTCATTTTTGCATTAGTGCAACGCAGTTTTCCGCATTTTCTGATATCCAAAATCCAGTGATCATTTTCGAGAGGCTGTGGCACCTCAACTGCCATCAGACAGGAAAGCTCAACGTTGCAAGTGTTGGAAGATTGCAGCGGCCAAAGTTGGGTGAGCCAACTGTTCTCGTAAACTTGTGGCGACGATCATGATTTCTGCTGCGGAAAAGGGCTGCCGCAGCACTTCGACAATTTGTTGGCAAGCTTTTGGCTGAAGCTCTTAACTTTCCTCGAACTTACCGCAAGTTTCTATAAAGCATCGCTGGCATGGCTTGGTCGGCGGCACCGGTGTCTATGATTCTCGTTTCATTTACCATGCTGGTCCTCACGGTGCGTGGAGAAGAGACATGTGCAGCTGAACAGGCGCAGGGCGCAAGGCTGTTGCACGTGCAGTTGTCCCACCACTCCGGGATTCGGGTGGAGGAGGATCAATTGTCAAGCAACAGGTCGAACGACACGGCAAGCAAGGGCAACCATGCTACCAACACCACGCAAGCTTCATTGAACCTCATTGCAGCAGTGGATGCTTGTTTGGAGCCACGTAGGCAAGCAGCAGCTGGCGACCCTGCCACTCTTGATCGGTTAGAGTTCGTGCGTGTAGCCGAGATACTCACGAGGTTGGTTCGTGCGAACTTGAGCGTCACGGTTCTGGGTGATGGCTACTCTGATGACGCCGAGATGATATCTGCGGCACAGATGGCTGGACACGATGCTGCCGAAGTCTTGGTAAGGCAAGAGTTTGAGGCAGAGACCATGGAAGCTCTCTCTGGCCATAACTTGAGCCACCAGGCCATTGAGCACTTCACGAAGAAGATTGCCAAAATGGTTCACATGTGCTCCAACGGCACAGTCGCAAATGAAACCTCCATTGCCTCAATTGAGAGCGTTATCCTGAATTCTGCTGAGTCTGGCTACATGTTGTATGAGGAGGCAGAAGTGGCCATGGACATCGCCTTGTATGTTCAGGGCCTTTGCCAGTCCGAAGTGCTGGATATCGATTTCTTCGTGGGCAGCTTCGGAGATAACACGTCGGAGTGCAACGAGCTGATGCTCGCATCCACATCCGTTCATGTCAAGAAGCACTTGTCCAAGCTTGACTACTATGCCAAGAGTGCTTTGGTGCTACATGATGAGCACAACAACCTTGCGCATCATTTCGCCCGACAGCACCTGAGTTCAAACAATGCTCTTTTGGGTTGTAAGTTTGTGTGCTTGTGCTTGCGTGCATGTAGTGCGAATCTGAGCCCTGTCCAGACTCCACCCAGCCACTCGGTCCACCATGGCGGCTGTTTCGATGGAGACGCTGATCCACAACGCCAGCATGTTCCATGCAGATGCTTGGGCAGCCTCAACCGTATCATTGTTTCCAGAGAGCTCTCAGCGCGATCCGCAGCAACACAACCCAGACCCAAACCCCCAGCGCAAGATGGGTTTGTTGTGGCGGCGTGCATTTGTTTGGGAACCCGCTCTTCCCAACTGGGTGCCTCAAACTCTAAGATTGCCGACCACTGTTTCAGAGCATACTGAGTGATTTGGGTAGCTAGTCTCCGGAAAGGTACGGGCATCTTCGTCCCGGCCAGTTTCCCAGAGAAGTGGCCTCCCTCACGCTGAGCACTTTATCAAGCCAAAGCAGAAGCCAAAGACTAAACAATAGACTCTTGCGCTGGTGTCTTAGTCCTCTTTTGTGTGAGGATGTCGAACAAATCTGAGGAGAACCGTGCGAGGATGGCCCGACTTCGATACCTTGATCGCACCTATTACGAGAAGGCCCATGGGCAGTCCATGGACAAGTACTGCGACATGACCCCCACGGCGGTTGGCAAGTGTTTCCTAATGTTTCCTACTGCAAAATCCCTAATCCCCTCAGCAGCCCTCCGAAGACCCATATACCAGTCCGAGTCGCGAGTATCCAAAATGCAGCCGGAGCCCCAAGCCCTTAGACTCCCCAAACCCTGCACTGCACCCCCAAACCTCAAACCCCACACACCAAACTCCAAATCTTAAACTGTACACCCCATCCTGCATTGTCCGAGTTGCGAGAGCCCAAACCCATCCCACATCCCAGGAATGCGGAGTTGGCCTCTGCGCAGCCGGAGCATTGGATCATCCAAAGCCCAGAGATTCAGGCCTATGCGGAATGCCTTTGCCCCTTGATGGATGCACCGGGTTCTCGTGTTCCAAAATGCTTTGTTTGCCCCAAAGCCTGAAGTTGAAGCCGCCGGCCAACAAGGTACCAGGCGAAAGCCGGCGCTAGTTTGCGATGCCGAGCACTCGGAGCCACTGGCGAAGATCCGACCACAGGTCCAGAGGAAGATGGAGGCACGTTATGATCATTCCGATGAATCATTCCTGTTACATTCATGCTTAGAATCACAAACAAACCTCACTGATGCAGATCTGACGACTTGTCCCTAAACCCTCTGAAAGCTCAAATGACGCTAGACCCCCGAGCCAGCAGGGCTAGTCACCAGGAGGTGGGGCAGCGATTCCACTCTTTGCTGCAACTGGATCCTTAGCTAAATTGCAGACTTCTTGAGTATGAGTAGGATTCGCTTCCATGACTTTGCCAGTTTGTGTTTTGACTTTAGTGGCGCTTTGGAGGCCTTTCAAGGCTTTTGGAAGTCTTCTTGGGAGCTTGCTAGCTTTGACCGAGGCTTCTCGGCACTGCTTGGGTTCCAAAATCCTATCTCAAAATGGCTGTCCGGAAAAGCACGCCCCAAAAGCTTCCATGCACTTCCCAGAAAGCCCGCCTCCAGAATCCATCGGTTCCACAATAACTCTTCCGGAGTGCTGTCTAACCGAGGCTAAGTCCCTCCCCAAAAGGCTGCCAGCAAGACAAGCTGAAACGCTTTCAAAGATTGTTCAAGAATGCTCAAACAAAGGCCAGAACATCCAGCAGCCACAGGGAAAAACAACATCACATAAGTTTTCTTGAACCTCCTTTCGTTGCAACCTTAAGAGACAGATCTCTGGTGCACACGTCAGATCGCGCTTCGGTTCACTCGCTTTGGCACGGTCTCAGCGGTCTCATGACCCAAACTGCCTTTGCAGACTCAATCTAGGGGCCTTCATAATTACCTATACTACTCTGGGGGTTCCTTATTATAGTTATAGCATAATATCCGCCAAAACCTTCTTCTAATTATTAAGGCCCCTACGTTAGATGGTTGACCTCCAGAGCCAGCGTTCGAGTCTCAGGACACTGGGACCGGGAAACCCGTCGGGCTTGGCCCCTGCCAAGATTCCAAGGGCAAGATGGAGGCCGTACCTTGGCCGCAGCCGGCCACAGGGGGTTTTGGGTGGAGTTACCAAGTTCACTGGCAGATGGCAACAGTTCAGAAAGCTGGGGGCAATGGAGAAGAAACGCTTTGCCTTTGGCAGTGTGGGGCTAGACGGGGCTCAATTCTCGGTCAGCAGCTTCGATACCCCTGATCAGTCTACAGAGCTACTTGATTCATAACTTGAACTTGAAAACGCACCGGCCTCCTAAACCCTAAACTCTAAAGCTCTAAACCCTAAACCTGAAGCGGAAAGGGTTTCTCCAGAGACCCTGGAGCTCCCAAGGTCTCTTGCTCCCTCTGTGTGAACGGGAACTGCATCGAGCCGGGAGGCGCCTCAGCTGGGCCTCGCTTAAAAAGCCATTAAGGCCCTACACTGGGTTCTTGTCAAGGGATCTATAGCAAATAATATGGTTTCCATGGTTTCCTTATTATGGTAGCTTAGGCTCAGTCCCTTAACAAGAACCCAGTATAGGGTTTTGGGGCTTCCAGGCACTTGAGAGTCCTGGTGCAAAAAACAAGGGTTGGTATTTTGCTGGGTTCTTGTTAAGGGATTTAATTTAAGTTACCATATATAATAGGGAAACCATATTATTTACTATAGATCCCTATTATGGTAACTTAAATTAAATCCCTTAACAAGAACCCAGTTTGGGGTAATCTACTCTCAACACTGAAGCGCGGAGGCTCTTCTATGGATGTCTTCGCTGCCATCAAGGAGCTGTTGGACTTCAAGAGCGCTTGCATGACGGGCACCTGCACACCTTGCATGGGAGTCAAACCTGGTGCTCTTGGCGAGTTTGAGGCTTTTGGCTTTGGGATTAGGATTTTAGAGGCTTGCGGTTCGGGCAGCGCAGCAGAGCGGCCGTGGTTCATTCACTTCACGTTGCTCCATACACGAGGTTTGACAGCGAGTACCTTGTTGATGGGTCTGTCCTCTGTCTTGCTTGGGGCTTGGGGCGTCCGTTTTCGTTTGTGCCGAAGCTCTGTTCAAGCTGAGGCGACCCCATTCAGTTCAAGCTAAACCTCGGGGTGGACGGGGCATGCGGCAACCAAGCAGCGCTCCTTTGACGCGTTAGGAGGCAGTTTGGCGCAAGCAAAACCGGAAGCACGGGCCGGAGGTACTCAAGTTGCCTCGAGGAAAAAAGCGTGGGAATCCCACATTACCACGAGAGGAAACGCAGTCTAACAGTTTGGACTCGACCCGTCTGAGGTTGTTCAGCTCGTTCAACTTGTTCGCATCAGTCGAGATGTGTATTGGCGGAGTCCTTGGCGAGGCAGCAGATACGATGGGATGGAGCACTTGCAAGGAACTGGGCAGCGTGAACTATTACCCGTTCATCAACAAGCTCCACCTGACGATCAACCTCCCAATTCCGCTACCCATGCCTCTGGGTGTGCGAGCCACGTTGTCGGCCAACTTGAACCTTGGCGACTTGACCGGGGCGGTGACCAACTACTGTGGGACCAAAGGTGCAGCGGGGGAGTACCGTTGCCTGAAAGACATGTACGATGCCCGTGGGGTTACAAGCATTGGCCTCAGCGTGGAAGTACTCATGGGCATCCGGGTCCCACTCCTCGGTGAAATCGGCAAATGGGTGCAAGTCCTGTCATTTGGTTTTGCGGAGAAAGATAATTCCAGGCAGCTCGCCATGAACAAGGCTAATGTCGCAATCGTCCACATTGGCTCGTCGCCGCGATCATACAAGTGCGGCAGGCTCTCAGCACAAACTTGGGTCGCTTTCCTTGTCATGTACACGCAGCTCATGTACTGTATGGCCCTGAAGTTGGTATAGGTAGGTTCTGAGGCCAGTAGATCCAGAAGCGTGGGGTGTTTTTGTTGAGCTCGCAGCTGCGAGGGCTTTCTCTGGCGTCAACTGCGAATCTCACGCGGGCAGGAAAGGCTATCGTGTCAACGAGGACTGGCGTGATGCCAATGACCCAATCGGGATTTGGCGGCCCACATTGCTTACTCCCATCACTTCCCGATCTTTGTGCGTCCGACGTGAAGACGAAGAATGGGACAGCCCACATGGTTGGGCCATGAACTTGGAAGTCGCGTGCAGGGTGGACAACTCGAACCTGGGCGTGATTGTTCCCATCGGCTCCAGCAGCACTAGAACAAAGTGCGTGCTTCCTGATGAGCCCGCACCAAGACTGCATTATGCTCAAGAGTTGACTTTTGATGACGTTGGCAGCTCGTCTTGTGGATGTTATGGTTTACGTTCCTGCAAAGACGCCACCAGGTAAGCTGCAAAAGCAATGCGGGGGACAAAGACCTGCGGATGGGCTTTGAGGTTGTCAACGACGACTTCTGGATTTACGGCTCGGGCGAGAGGTGCGAGTTTCAGCAACGGGGACATAGACTTTCCATGACACTCAGCTCGGAGACCATGTCATGTCTGCCGTTGGTGTTTCTACGCATCTTCATCCAGAAAACCTTGCAAGTCTACAGACCTGCTGCCGTGGGAGATAGTGTCGTCATTAGGCTCTTGCACCATCACATGTAGAGTCAGAGATTGCCAGGGTTTGTGCCCGACGCGACGATCACCACGGAGGCCAGCACCGTGATCCCACCTGCGAAGTAATTCCGGGGTCCATCATAGCGCCATGTCTCGGTTTTCCCGGAGTGTGTCCATGTGTCTGGATCAGCACACCAAGAGCAAGCCCACATGTCGTCTGCCTGTCAGTAAATTCTATCAAGGGGAGCCTACCAAAGCTTTGCAAGTCAGCACCTCGTAAGCCAGGTTTGCTCAACCTGGTCTACCTGCTCACGCTTGTGATGTTTTGCCATGTACGGGTGCTGTATGTTGCTTATCATCGAGGCAGACAAAGTCCTCCCGTGTTCATGGGATCAGCCTCATGGCAGAAAAACCTCCGGTGCCAGCATGCCGTTCAGCCGAACAGTAAGTGCATTCCTTGCCATATTGGGGGGGGGGGGGGCGGTTGGAGCGATCTGATGTCCCCAGACCATGGCGGAGCCATGCTTAGTATCAGGTGTGTGGCAATGGTTGCATGGAAGGGAGGGGCCAGCAAGTATTGCGTGTGTTTCAGCATGTCGTGCATTCGTTGTAACGTCGCAGTATGCGAGGATTTGCTTGTAAAGTTTTGTCAAAGTCGCCAACGTAACTTGGGGCAAAGTTCGAAGCATTTTGCACATTGCAGGTGGCCTGAGGCTCAAAGTCTTCGAGTGTGATATCACGTGCTTGCAGTCGCGCGAGCGACTGTCCCTATGTGGCACTACCCAAGACACTTGATGCATTCGCATGTTCCTGCAGTCACGCAGCATGTCGGCATCACAACTGAGGGAAAGTAAACTCACACGCCACGCTGTTGTGAAAGCTGTGCGAGTGGTCCGGCCGCCACATGTGTCATGTGTACCTGTGTGTTTGTGTGTGTGTGTGTGTGAAACTTGCTAGGACATGCAAAGATGGAGTCCCTTTCGTCATCATTTCGTGCCGCGGGCCACCGTATGGTGTAGCAACGGGAAGGTTTGGGATGCCAAGCCTTGCACCTGCAAAGGTGACAAGACCTATTTTATCCATAGCCAGCAGCTTGTTGCATAGTGCCATCGTCAAGCTATTCGCTGCTTCAGAGCCAAGATTTCACGGTGCTTAACAGCGCCCCACGTGCCCTCAACCGCAAGCAAACCAGCTATGCTTTTTGTCCGTCAGGAACCTCTTCCTGGGTTTGACCCAAACTGGTAGGTTTTTACTTCAAGTGTCAGTGTGTTTGTTTGTGTGAATGTGCGTTTGTTGCAGGATTTGCTGGCGTGTTGGGGTCGTGGTTCTATCCTGACAGTCCCTGTAGAGGCTGGGGCATGAACTTGCAGCTGGAGTGCGAGCCCACCAACGCCGCTCCCGTCGATTACACCGTCAGAACTGTCCATATCGGCAACAGCTATGCCAACACGAAATGCGTTCTGGTACCGCAGACATATGAGTGCGATGCGGACGCGGGGGATGATGCAAATCGTGTGAACGATGATTGCCGCAATTGCGGGAATAGATTCTTTGTAAGCGTGAATGGCGGCTGGGTGTGCGCTCGCCGCCTTGATCATCACGAAGGTGCTCGTCTGCGGTGGTTGTGCGCTTTCGAAGCTGTTTGGAAGTGTGCAGGGGTGGGGGAAAGACAGTCCATAGGGGGGTATTTACGGAACATGGGCCAAGGGTTGTTCAGCCTGACCCATGCATCGGTCTTCACCCCACTATCACTAGCCAGCCTCCTTTGTTTCATGTCTAGTGTTGCCCTTAATTGCTTTGTACATCATCATCTTCTACTTCGTTTGTTCTGTCGCGCTTTCTGTCCTTCCGCCCGTTATTTAGAGTTGAATGCCGAACCACACCTTCCCACTTTCCCAGAGTACTGGCAATGCCTAAAATTTCAGCACACGGTGTTTAGCAACATCTTTCCCAAGTTTCAGGTCCGAGGCAGCGCCAACCGTCACACTCAGGTAGAGCTTTATCTTTGCAGCATGTCCCCGAGAGGTCTACTTCTCCTTGGTGTTGGTGTTGTCTAGATTTTCTTTCCAGAATCCTTGCCATTACTTGTTTCAGTATCATCATTTGTCGCTTCATGCCGTAAGAAATTTGCTGGGTTTTTTGTCTTTCAGTAGTTTTTCCACTGAAACTCTGGCACGGGCTGTGTTTTTTCACAGCCAGACTATGTTCTGCAAAGGCTTATCTGGCTCTTATCAGACCTTCCTGTAAGCATTGAGGCATCTGTTTCTATTTGCTCTAGCTTCTGATGAGAAAAGGCTGCATACTACATCATCTATACTTTCATGCAAGGTACAAGTTGCGCACGGTTTCTCAAACGGTGGATAGTCGATGGAATCTGGCTTTTGTTTTGTTGCATGCTGAGTATTTGTTCGTCCTCTTGAGTCTTTATCCTCTTCGCCCGCATGCATTCCCCAAGATTTGGAACACCATAGCAGTAACACGATATTATGGGTTACGCTCCTATTAACCGAGTCGTCTGAATCTCACGGTGAGAAAGAAGCTGACGCACCCTACGCTGACGATCAGAGCTGGGACTGGTCATGTACACTCTAGTATTTCACAAGTCTGCGTCGTCAAGTCGTTGTTTTAGGCAGCAATCAATACTTCGTGCTTTTAAACCATTCACCCAACCCTTCAACCTCCGAATGTTTGTTCAGCATCACATCTCGTCAAGCTCTGTAGTCGTATGTTTTCTTACACTCCGCTGCCTTGTCCACTTGTATACTCCTATGTCGCTTTGGCCTGAGCCTTGGCCTCATCCCCTTCTTCAGCTTGTGTATATTTCCGTCAAGAGTGTACTTGGTCTTCATTACCCACAAGGACTTAGCACTTTCAGCATATTCATTGTCATGTCACTCATTCGGTGCCATCCCTTCGGTGAATGAACCATCATCGATTGTTAGATGTATACGAAATCATCGTCCAAACCCCTTTCGTCTGCACTGCGCCATTGCCATTCATCTTCTCTACCGTATCAACCGCGCTCTCGTCTACATCGGAATAGTGTGGTGTCGCAACATGGCTGACACCTTCGTCATTAAAATCGCTCTGCCGTTCAGTTCACGTTCATGCTCGCTACAGTTAGACTGTTGATGCCTTCCATAAGAGCACATAGTATTGGTGTCGTTCTTGAAGCAGTTAGTTCGTAGAGAAATATGAGAGTGAGAGATGAAAGGCCTTACGCTTTGGGACATTTTGGGAAAGCCGCCAGGATACAGATTGAGGGGCTCCCCTGGAAATAAAGCTAAGGAGGGCTATGGATTAGGCTAGGTCGTGATTGGCTATTGAATGGATGCAAAAGTCTAACGGTCATTCAGCTGCGGTCTGAACACACCCTTGATTGCTTTTTTAATGAAGCGGAGGAATCTGAAGCCTTCTGCCGGCAGGTTGGGGCTTGAACCTGCAGATCCATTGCAAAGACTTTGGTGTCGCCCGGGAAGTTGTGAGGGTGAACATCGGATCAAGCGGCCATAACAGCAAGTGCGTAACCGCGAGCAAGTCCGTGCTTTGTGCTTCCTGGGCTGGCAATAATGGCATGCGCCTGAACACCGACGGCGATGGTTGGGACGATGCATTTGCGATCACTTCATCTGGCAGCACAGTCTGTGCGAGACGCACTGACCACACTGGAGGATGGGGAATGAATTTGCAGATTGACTGCGAAGCCTAAGTGGCCCGCCAATGCATCCTACAGCACGGAAGATACCGGCTGGTGATGATCGGCGAGTCTCAGTGAAGACTATGTCCGTCAGATCTTCGAGCCCCTTCGCAGAACAAGACGCAAATTCCTCAAGCTTGAGCATAGATCTCAGGCATGCGAGAGGGAAAAAAATTATCGTGGGTGAGACAGGTCCGCCCCTATTTTGGAATAATTCGGCTTTCTTCTTAAATATATGTATATTCATATATATAATATTTTCAGAAGAATTTCATTTTATTTAATTCTCTTCCTTCATAATTAGATTGAAGAATATATTATTTATTTCATTATAGAAAATTTGATTAGCTAATTATTCTATAATAAAATAAAAATAGATATAGATAATTACGATACCGATTCAAATATGCAATATCTCTAGATCTATATTATGATATATTTATATATATATATATTATTCTAGATTATTTCGAACATAAAGAATTTTTGCCATTATTTGATTTATTCAATATATATTTAATAATATATGAAATATAATAGAAATATAAAATATGATATCTTATATTATTTGTAAAATCGATTCATTATTTCTTATAAATAGAATATTCTAAATTTAAATTATAAGCTTAAGTATTTATTTTATTTTTCTTTATTTATAAAAAATTTTTGTTATTGATTATACTTATAATAATTAAAATCATAAAATATTTATTTATATTATAGGTCGTGACAAGTATAATTCCCTCGGCTTGTGAATGAAGGAGCCCGAGCAACAACAACAAAGTTGTATATGCTCCAGTGTTCTTGCCCGAGCTACCCCGTATGAGCACTTCGCAGCTAGTGTCCATAGGACTCGCTATAGCCTGGCTTGTGGAAAGGCACCGACCAGGACCACCGATTCTTGCCTTGGAGGAAATCCAGTCGCTGCGGGACGAGGTGGCGAGGACTCGCGAGGCAGTACTACAGCTTGAAGAAGCATCTGGTTCCTGTAGTGTTCAGCTCTGGGTCCAAAGCTGGCTGCTCCGACTTAGTGGTCTGGCTGATCTGCTTCTTGTGGGTCTATTGCTGTGGGTGTGGTTTTCTACCCGAACGAGGGCGACTACAGTTACTGAGTCTTCGGCGGGTGCTCTTTATAATCAAAGTTCAGGGATTGCGGAAACTTTGGGGTCGGAAAGGCTTTCGGAGGCTTCTTTAGGATCCGGTTCTTCTACCTCTCCTATTGCTCGTTCGACTACGGCACGACCTACCAGGCCATCTGATCTTAAGAAATGGCAGACCTAACTTTGGACATCTCAGAAATCCAGATAGTGGTCCATTATCCCGGAGATCCTGGAGGGTTTGACTGGCATCACAGGGTCCTCCTTCATCGGATCGAGGGAGGGCGATGGATTACTCTTACGCCCGATCTTGAGCTTCAGCGGCATGATCTTTCCGTACAGAATCACAGAGTGCTTGACCGTTCGGCCCCTTTCCCGGCCGACATAGCCGCCCTCACCTACGCCCACGACCCCATAGGCCGAGCTGCCCTATCCAACTTCAGGAGACAGGCACAGATTCAGGCGGCCATCCTTGGAGAGGGAACCGTGGTCGACTCCGAGGCCTACCAGTGGGTCGTGGCTGAGAGTGCGCATTCAGATTTCGGCCGAGCTGTGGACTCTGCTTTGCTTGCGAACGAGGCTACAGGGTTGGCCTTCACGATGAAGGGTGTCATGATTCTTGAAGGGGAGGAGGTCTTTGTAGAGAGGGTGATGATCAGTGAGATGGATGCTTGGAGAAGACGACGCGGCTTGGAAGCCGCCGATGTGCGACTGCTAGGCGATCACCGTGATGCAAGTGGTAAGAAGGTCCTCAGTCTTCGCCAGGCCGTTCCCTTGATGAAATGCCCCGTGGACCCCGAATTCCCGATCCAAGGCACCCGAGCCGCCAAAGAGTTTCATGAGGCGGTGTCACTGACAACGGAGGGCTTCCTCACTTACCACTCTGAGTGGGTCCGATTGTCTGGGGCGAATCGCAAAACCAGTTCAGTTCACATCCACCGAGCCGTCTGTGAAGCACTGAGGTTGATGCATTCTTTCGATCAACTGGACGCAAGTGCCCTTGCGGTGGGAGAGCATTTGACGAGGTGGGTGATTCAAACTGAGCTGGCCGTGGAGCGGAACCCCGCCGCCCCAGATTTCAGTGGACTTGACATCGTGAGCGGGACCGCGCAGCTGCCCGACGGGAGAGCAGCGACCACCAAATTCTCCGAATGGGTCTCTGCGAGGCTCAAGGAAAGGGCTTCTCTGTGGAAGCAAGAGAGACTCTTCAATCAGGAGCGTCGCCGGCTCCGTGGCCGAGGCTACCGTGGAGATGGCGACGATGGGAGCAGCTCCGACGAGGGGGGGAAGGGCAATCCGCAGAAGAAGAAGAAAAAGAAAAAGAAAGGAGGCAAAGGAGACAATGCGACGGCCGGAGCTGCTTCGGCTCCGGCGGGGCAAAGTAGTTTTCTTCTTGGGTGGGGCCATGCCGGGGACAATGTCCGGTCCTACCCTCTCTTCTTCGGCGGATGCATGGTATGAATTTGGAGTCCGGGGTCTTTCTCCTCACCGCAAACATGGTGATCCTTTTCCTCTACCCCGACTTTCTTCTTCATCGAGTTCCAGCGGGACTCCGTCTTTTACACGATTGCACCGGCGAGTTGATGCGGCATTCCGCTCTTTAAACAACCTCGCCGCAATCCCTTTTGTGCCAGTTCGCTCCGCCCCTCCCCCGCTCACCTCAGTGCAAGAGTGGATGATGGGAGATATTTGGCGGAGGGTTGCCATGTATGGGGAGTGCCCAGCCGACGTGACTGAGGCTTCATCCCTTGGTGATCTTTGCAGGCGTGCCAACCTGTACTCGCAGGAGGCTTGTCACCTTGTGGACACGGACCTCGGGAAGATCAAGATTTTGCGGAGGAGGCTACAACCACAGGATGCTAGGGACCTGGCTCCACCCGAGACCAGGTGCTACCTGGACAAGTTCAACGTGTTGGTTGAGAGGACGCCGGAGGAGCTCGAGGGGCTCCGCTGCACTGGGAACCTAGTGGAACCCTACTGGGATCCACATCTACGGCGGGATCGGTTTCTTCGGCTTCAGCTCTATCGGGCCCTCTTTGACACGAACCTCCTGACCTTCCGCCGTCGTCGCAAAGCCCGTGTGGGGTTCTTTACCGTGCGCAAGAAGGATACAGACCAACAACGGCTCATCATTGACGCACGGCAAGCAAACTCCTGCCACAGGCCTCCACCAACAACACGTCTTGCGACACCGGCGGGTCTGGTGAACCTTGATCTGTCCCCCGGATCTTTGGAATCTGATGGATTTGGCGGCTACCTCGGCGAGGCCTGTGTATCGGGCGAAGCCGGCGATGTGGGGGACTGTTTCTATAACTTTACTGTCCCGGCCCTGGCCGCTTGGTTCTGCACGGACGATGACTTCGACCAGGCCGAGCTCGCGGACCTAGGCATCCACGTGGACGCCATCTACGACGATGAGACCGGCAAAGAGCTCCCTCTTCAAGTGGGAGAACGTGTATATGCTGCTTTCAAGGGCGTTCCCATGGGATGGAGCTGGGCCCTCTACATCGCCAATGAGGTGGTGAACCATCAGGTGAGTTTTACGAGCACCAGACCGGGCGAGGATGAGATTCGTGATCGCGCCCCTCCTCCGACGCTGCTCCCCGGCCGTCCTGTGGTCGGGACCTACGTGGACAACATCCACACTTTCGGAGGCTACACCGGTGAGGCGGGCGATCGCATGAGAGCCATTGCCGACCGCTTTGCCCTGCTAGGTATACCTTTTGAGGTCGATGATGTTGAGGGCCAGGGTTGGATGCACAGCCTTGGACTGCGGTTCGACTTTGGCGACCGATGTACGGCCCGATCAAAAACATCCCGCGCATGGTCCCTGTGGATGGCTACGCGTGGACTTCTTCGACGACGCCGGGTGAGTGGCCGTCTCCTTCGTGTATGGTTGGGGCTGGCCAACTTCCACTTTCAGTTGGCTCGGCCGGCGCTCAGTGCACTCTCTGCCACATACAAGTTTGCAGCGGAGCACCTAGAGCACAGGGCTCCTCTGTGGGCATCAGTGCGGTCTGAACTTCGTGACGTTCTCGGCCTCATCTTTTTGGTTGAGGTCGATATGTCGGCCCCGCTCTGCACGGAGGTGCACGTGGGCGATTCTTCAGACCGTGGCTACGCGCTTATGAGCACCACCTCCAGTCACATGGAAGTCAGGGAGGCCCTTCGACACCACGAGCGATGGCGATTCAAACATAGTACAGAGCCTTTCCCTTCTCCTCTCTTTGATTGTGCTCACATGGGCATTCTGGGTCATGCCGGGCAGACCCCCACGGCCGGGCTCGGGAAGACTACACAGTTCGGCAAGGAGCTTGCAGGAGCACTGGACTCTTCTCTACGAGATCCTCTTTTTAAGCGGCGGCGCTCCAAGCTCTTGGGACCCTCGACCCCGCTCGAGACGACCGTGATCGAGGGACCGGCGATCCCCGCCTTGGCGCGATCTTGGGATGATCCTCACCGCTGGACTCTTGTCACGGCCAAGCCCTGGAATAACGTCAAGGAACACATCAATTTCAAGGAGGCAAGGGTTTGTTTGATGAGCCTAAGGAGATTATGTCGCACCTCCCGCAATTTGGGCACCACGGCGCTGACGATCACGGACAACTTGGTTTCGGCTCTGGCCTTCGAGAAAGGCCGCAGCGGATCGCGGCCCCTCAACAACCTTTGTAGGCGGGCAGCTGCCTACCAATTGGGCGGACGAATCCAATGGAGACTCCGCCACATCGAGAGCAAGAGGAACGTGGCGGACGCACCGTCGCGCTGGTTTGGTCCTGACCTTCCTCGACCGGACCAGCATGGGCCTCTACCTGGATCTGATCTTCTACATGATCGACGCGGTCCCGGAGGACATGGCACCCAGGGCTCGCATCGCCGAGTCGACTCCTTTGAGCTGGGCCGTGACCCCCAACCACGTGATTACGGAGACCGGGTTCAGAAGCTACCGACTCCGCGGCAGAGTACGGCGGCTCCTCGCTACTTCCTCGAGCTCTTCTCGGGCGCGGGACAACTGACCTCCGCTGTACAGGGAGCGGGGCTTCGAGTGCTTCCCGACTTCGAGATTGGCAAGGGGTCCTGTTTCGATTTGTTGTGCCCGAAGAACCAGGAGCTGATCTTCGACATGATTAGGAATCGTGAGCTCTGGTGCGTACATCTCGGGACCCCTTGTACAGTCTGGAGCAAAGCCAGACACAATATCCAAAACGTCAGGCGTGCGCGCCAAAAGGAGGCATTGGGAGTGGCGACAGCGCTCTTTTCAGCATGTGTGATTCGAGAGTGTTTGGCAGCAGGTGTGCATTTCATCTTAGAGAACCCTCAAACGAGCCGGATGTGGGAGTTTGGTCCAATTCGGGACATCTTCCTTAACAAGCACGTCTGCTTCTTTACCTTCCACATGTGCGCCTGGGGCACTCCATACAAGAAACCGACGAGCATTCTCACTGACCTTTGTTCACTTCATAGTCTAGCCAAGCGCTGCCCAGGAGGTCATGTTCATGAGCGACTGCGGGGATCAGTGAAGTCGTTTGTAGATGGCAAGCTTCAGTTCTGCAACCGCACCGCTGCATCTGGAGCTTATCCAAGGTCGTTGTGCGCAACTTGGGCTCAACGGCTTAGGGACTCAGCGCCACCAGAAGCTTTCGGGACTACATCTCCGGAGGCAGTGCTTAGTTTTCTTCATGGCGTCGAGACGGCGGCCCGTCGAGCTCACCGACCACATCATGCAGCTGCCGGCGAAGATCTTCGAGACGGTCACCAGGGTTCGGGCGACTTCAAGTTCCTCCGAGGTGCCAGGCGGTATCTCCAAACGCACCCGGCCGTCTTCGGGCACTTCACTGCCGAGGACATCGCCCAGCTTGCAGGCTACAGGAAGTTCGACGACTACCCCGAAAAGACGCGCGAAACCCAGGACGACGCCAGAGGGGACAAGCCTTCCACCTCTCCTACGTCTTCGAGCCTTGAAGGTTACGCAGAAAACTCTAGACAGGTACCACAAGCACGTCCGCGAGTTCGAGGCATGGGCCAAAGCTCGCCGACACCGAGTCACTAAGAAAAATCTGGATAGGCTGGTCACCCTCTACCTGAACTTTTTGGAAGAGGATGAATCGATCCAGCCCTCCAACGGTGCCTACGTGATCTATGGCCTGCAGCTGCTACGCAACACGGGGCCCAAGCATGAGTTCCTCTCAAATGCCAAAGAGGCGCTCAGTGGATGGAAAAAGATTCAGCCGGGCGGCATGCGCCTCCCCGTGCCGGAAGAGTTCATTTTCGACTTGGGCTTCCTGGCTTTGCACCAGCAGCGAGGCGACTTGGCCTTTGCCCTCGCCCTTCAGTATGACACGTACCTGCGGCCCTCGGAACTACTCGGCCTCACGCTGGACCATGTTGGCTACCCAGCAGGAGGCCGCTACAACAAGTGGTCTTTGGTGGTTGCACCCTCGGCCTTGGGTGAGCGCACCAAGCAAGGCACCTCCGACGACTCTGTCATGATCGCTGATCAAGGCGATCGTCGCTGGCTCTCCGATGCAATGGCCGAGTACGTGAAGAGATGCAAGTACGAACTCTTCCCACACCTCACACTGAACTTTTACGAGCGTTGGTGTGAGAAGAGTTGCAGGCAGCTGTCCTACCGCTCTACGTGCATCATGCCGCATATTCTTAGGCACTCTGGGGCATCCAACGACATGTTCCACAAGAGGCGTTCTCTGAGTGAGATTCAGAAGCGGGGACGCTGGCAGGCTCGCAAAAGCGTCGCCAGATATGAGAAGCATGCGTTGTTGCTCAAACGATGGGAGCAAGCTTCGCCGAAGCGAGTTGCCTCGATTCGACGACAATCTCAGAGCTTTGGCCCAGCACTTCTGCGCTTTCTGAAGTCCTCCGAGTGCTGAGCTGGCCTGCGAGTCCGGCCTTCGGCCAAGCTGATGTGAATGGGAGTTCACTGGAATGGGTCCGATGATGGACTCAAGCCTTGAGCTGGAGCGTTACATGAGGCTGAGACCTCATTTGTAAAGCATTTCACCCCGTTTCCATTTGCTCCGCAGGACACAGGCATTATACAGCGAAGCCCGTGGCAAAAACTGGGCGACGTGCGAATGGTGAAGGCCGGGTCGGGAATTGAATACTAATACTTAGATTATCTATTTAGAAAATATCATTATGAGATAATTTATATTTTTTCAGAATTATCCGATAAAAATCTTTAGAATTCTTCTCTTGATATCAATAATCAATTTAAATATAAAATCTTTTAGTTATTCTCGTAGTATAAATATAAGCATTTACAAAAATATATAAATCGAGATATAATTTCAGAATTATGAAAAAAATATTATATAATTTATATAGAGAATATATATAAATAATATATATAAAAAAATATACGATAATAACTAATTTATTTAATATTAGAATTTTCATTATCCGACCCTTCGATTCGTCTGAAAGACATACCACCTACCAAACCACTTTTAAAACTCCCATTATGACTGAAATAGAATTATTTAATTCGACTCCAATAGAAGCCCAATCCAACCCCACCAGACGATTTTTAAAACTTCCATTTTGGCTTAGCTAGATTCATTTAATTCGATCCTCATAGAAGCCCAAGCCTGCTAAAAGATATACCATCCGTCATATAGCCTTTAAGGTGCCCATTTTGACTTAACTAGAATTCTTTCAATTCGAGTCCAATAGAAATCCACCTCCTCTCTAAACCCTTCTAAAAAATAGCCCGCGCATCAAATGAGATTCAAAGCTCCAATTATAGCTTACATAGAATTATTCAATTTATTTCTAATAGAAATCCAACTCCTCCAAAATACATCCCACCCCCCCCCTGCCAGACGACCTTTAAAGCTCTTATTTTAGCTTACATAAAGCTACTTAATTCTACCCTAGTAGAAATCTATCCCTCTCCCCGCCTTCAAAGCTCCCATTTCAGAATGACTAGAGTTATTTTTTTTTCGACGCTAAAATTCTTATACGAACCTAACTAGAATTACGCAATTCAATCCCCAATAACGGTCCAATCCCTTCAAACCCCTCTACAAGAAATCCCATTCATTAAACGTCCTTCTAAACTTCCATTTTAACCATTCGATCCCAATAGAAATCTAACCCCATCAAACCCAAAGCAGAGCTCCTACTCTTAGAGGTCGGTGATACTGGCGGCAACCAAAAAATAATTCTTCTTACGCCAAGAAATTATAAAATTATTTTTTCTAAAAATAAAAGAACTATTATTTTCGATTCCAACGACAGCTTAAATCATTATTTCTCGCGCAAATAGAAATCTAGTTCAAAATTAGACGATAACAGCTTTTCCCCATCATAAAAATAAGCTTGAATCTATTGAGGGAAATACTAGTATCTATTATTATAATACAATTTGTTTATATTATTTTTGGCTTATATGATTACTTGCTCAAGCAGTATTATGCTCATATCTCCAACATATGATGGGAAGTACTTTGGTCCTGGTCTTGAAGCCCCGCAGAAGCGAGGAAATCATTTTGGTTGATGCGTATTGGTCGGCCGCAGTATGTCACTTCGTTGTGATGGCCAGATCAGTAGTGTGATGCAAAACGAAAACAAGGTTGCCGTAAGAAAGCTGCAGAACTTTCTATCGAAGATCACCTGGTCTCGGCTGAGCAGTTACGTTTTTCAAACATCGATGGGCGTTGCGGAGACGCTGCTGCCGGTGCCCGGCGTCAGCCACCTCAAGATTCGAGGAGCCCCACTGATCGAACCTGTTGTGCCCTGAACTTGGCATGCTCAGGCATTACAATCAACTTCAAGCATTCGCAGGATTTTGCTCCAAATCGGGGATGGCTACATCCGATACTCAGCTGTCGGCTGTCAAGATTAAAACCACTCAAAACTAGCAGAAAACCTCGCTGCAGCAGCAGTGTCCAGGGCAGCCAGGGCACATCTTGTTTTGCCGGAACCTCGGTTCAGGTCAGTAGAACAAGTGTTTGATGCCGGACTTCGACTTGAAGTGCTAGGGCACAATGAAAAATCAGGAGCTCGCGAGAAAACCAGCCGCTCCTGAGCGAGCACATCCGCACCCAGAATGACCTGGCAATGAATCTCGAGGTTCGAGGTTTTGTAACACGAAAAGACAATTGCAAAGCTACATAGATACGTAGATGCATGCTGCAGTTCGGCTTGCCATGATGTGAAACAACTTCATGTGGAGGTGTTAATAAGTAGTTGGATACTCTGAGTAGGACCACTGCGACATTGCGTTCAGAAAATGCCGCAGATATGCGGAGCAAGAGCAGGTACTGCCAGTACGTGACAATCGAACGACATGACATTACACTATGGCTTCAAGGTTGAACAACAGTCGTTAAGATTCGGGCACCCCCCACCACCACCACCACCACCACCACCACCACCACCACCACCACCACCATAATGACCATGTTGGTGATCATTTGCTTGACCATCAACGCATCCATGACATGAAGGTGTTGAAAGCTCGGCTGAAGTTCAGACAAAATATTTTGCACCTAGCCCGACACGTGCCAGCGTCACCGTGGGCCACTCCGTGAGCTTCAGCTCCTTCGCAGTACTCAAGACTGTCGCTGTGGCACACAGCTACAGCCGCGTATCCCTACCTTTGCTGTTTAACCGCGCATTTTCGTGTCGAGCCAACGTTGCGCGAGCATTCGCCTGCAACTGCGCTCTCAGTCAAGGAATGAATCACTTGCTCAGTCGCGCCAGCAGGACATCGAGCGATATCGAGCGTTTATGACGGCGATGGTGCTGCGTCACTTCTGACCGTGTGCAGGCATCACTCGAGCAATATGGAGCAATACGTGATTCTGGCATAGCTCTCGCAGGTCGATTCGTCCAGGAGTCGAGTAGGTTTTTGTCGAATCTTCAATATCAAGTTGCACAGCTGCTTTGCATGAGTTAGCTGGACCGCTTGCCAAGCCCTGAACCCGTCGCTGTCATCAAGTTGTTGTGCTCTACATTGTCCTAACAGACAAGACCCCAAACGAGGCATTTCCAGTACTAAAGTTCACTACAACCAAGCACAATCCAACCAGGACCCAAACGAGGCATAACTCTGTCTGCTTCGGAGGCCTCGAAGGGGTCCAAGTCGCCCGCCAAGGCTGCACCTGCTCGTCTGAAGCACCGAAGTCCGCCTGGAACCCCACCCCAACTTCTATCGCTGATATACTGTAACAGGGGACTGAATATTTCCCGGGAGTCTCCCCTGATAGTCACTAGATAGTCACAGCACTCTATGACCCGACATCGTATTCCATTATAACCACAGTACGGTAACAAGGCCCCTACCTTGGCAAACTTCTGAGTTTCTTAGACCAGGGGCCCTCTGCACTCCACCCGCAAACACTGAGTACGAAACCCTGAATGATCCCCAAGTCTAAACCGAACCCTAAACAAACACACACACACACACAGGCGCGCTTGGGCCCTGCCCAGCCTTGCCGTATTGCAAGGCGGGGCCTTCCATTCAAGGTGAAGAACATGTTGCAGCCAACTTGCATGAAAAATACATGTCGAGGGTTGTGCTCCAATTCACCAAAGATCCAGGGCCCGAGCCCCTTTCCAATGCCAAAGGTGGCAGGCAACTCCTCCGGTTTCTTGCTAGAACTGGACCTGCCGGGCCGATTCTTCTTGGCTTTGCAACCGGACCTCATAACTTTGCATGGACCTTTGTTGCGCCAAAGGTATCGAAACCAGTCTGGATCCACTCAAGGCGACCCTGTCTGGGCACCTCTTCTTCGTCTTCGACTCCTTGACAGTCAGGCCCGACCCGAAGCCAGTGGACTTCTTTTGCGCTTTCTCCTCGTCAGCCGCCGCTACGGTGCTTCAGTTGTCCAACGTGGTCAGATGTTCAACCGCTCTCTTCATTCGAAGCTTACCTGCGAGTCTGCCCTCACACCACACACTGCTCAACAACTGCCTGGCAATGCATCCGCACGTTTGGGCCCTTGCCTCATACAGCGTCGTGTAGCCATGTCGCTTTATGTATAACTAGCCCGCTGCATGAGCTCGGTGTTCAAGCTTAGCAGTGAGCTGTTCACGGTGTTCGTGCATACCCAAGCCTCTGTCTACACTGGACAAGAACTGGCAACAAGCTCTAGACTCTAGCCCCAAGATGAAGTCAACCGCCGCTGATGTAGTGGTGGGTATGTTCGAACGGCCACAATGCTGTGAAGCAAGAGCATCTGCCAACCTCACACCTGTCGGCTGACATACAGTAGCACCGGATTTGCAATCGACCATTCCATGCATTTTCAGCCCTACATACTCCAACGGCCAAAAATGGTTGACAGGTGCTCGTAGTTCGGGCGTCCTATGTACATTCCTTTCAGAATTTATTTCGTGACTCCACTAGAGGCAAAGGCTTCTTCTGCAGCTCGCCATCCGCGCACCTGTGTCGATGCTACGGGATAAAGCTTCTTGAAGCTGGGAGACGCTTGGGAGCTGCTTGGCTTGACGAGACCTCCTCCAGCTTGGACCTCTCGGTACGCGAGACCGGTGTACTTGTATTGAATGCGCGCGATCTTTCTCTTGAGAGGACTGCGAACAGCCAACATCACTTTGCAATGCAGTCGCGTATGGCCGTACTGCATCCATCTCAGGCCGGCCAGTGCCCTGTGAAGCCACGAGATTGTGAGAACCACGATTGTTCGCCGTCAGCCCGGAAAGGACAGGCCTGTAAGCCCAGCGTCTACTTGAGGACCTGGGCTCAGCGACGGAGTGGGGGACTTTAGGAAGCGTGGCAGTCCCTGCCAGGCAGATGTTTGCTTGTGGCTAGTCCACCGAGCCCTAAATTGAGGATGCACCTGTAGTTGTGACAAAACGAAAGCGCAAAACTTGCGGTCAACTGCTGCTGAGTCACGTTTGGGCAGAGAAAACCAAAGCAGGAGACTTCCTCCTTGACGATGGTGTATCTGGAGCACAGCCGCAGGACTGCACTGGCAGCATTAATCTGAACACTCATGACCTGAACAATAGACAATTTCCGAAGACACTGAACTTAAGTAGTGCACAGTGACTTCCAGCCTGTGAACGTTGAAATATGTTTGCTTGCCTTCGTCGTGACCATGAGCTAAACAACACCCCGACACCTGCTGCCGGAACACAGAGGGGCGGCACCCGAAGTGGGATTTGTCGAGATGGCAATATCCAGAAGACCGGAGGCCTAGCGCCACAAGCAGGGCATGGGGCTACAAGACGCTTTGCAGATCTTGCGGAGGACTTCTGGCTCTAGCCAGTCGAGAAGTTTGAGAACCGATGTGCAACCCTTGAAGGACAACGGGTCAAAGACCGAGCTATGACGCCAACAGCTTCCAACTCACCCAGGTATGAACAGGATATTTTCCTAGCCTTTGTGACAGCACGAGCATGAGCAGCGCAGTTGTGAGCAGAGATTTGACTTGAGCTTTACCCTGGCCGTAATGTGGCATTGCTCACCATGCTGCTGATTAGCCACGAAGCGAGAAGACAGGCCTCGAAATCCAACGTCAACGACTCTAGTGTATCGCACTGTTGGTCCACTCCCGCCACGACCTTGTTCTTGCCTCAGTGGAATTCGAACTACAGCCTTGATGATTCAGAATTTAAGTCTTGCCAGGCTCAGGGTCAGTCGACCAGCTCTGGGGAAATGACGGAATCCGGTGCAGAGCCGCGGCCGACGACTGAGAAGCTGTGGATCCAACAGCTCCGGCCCTTCAGCTTTGGCCGGCAATGCGAACTCGAACTTCATCTTGCTCGTGCACTTGTCCTTCTCCTGGCAGCAATATGTGCACAGGTTAGTCCGCCCAACCCTGAAGGCCTACCTCCCCTGTGAACTGAGTGAACTCGCTGCAGGGGAGGCTCTCGAAAGACGTCGTTCTCCCCCACGCTCTCCACGCAGAACAAGCCTGGGCGAATGCTCAGAATTGGATTGTGCAGTGTGCATCGCGGCCACTGCAAGTCTCTAGCACAAAAGAGCTTTCCCGAAAGTGTAACAGTGGAGCATAATGCTGGAACCTTCCGCCATTTCGCGGCCCAGCGACGATCTCCCGCGGCACGATGGCCAATTTGGCGAGCGCCAAACCGGGCGACCTGCGTTTGATCGGCTGGATGAGATTATTGGAGCCGATGCGACGCTTTGGCTTGGCGAAACGAAGCAGCTGGTGAGCTTTTCTGCATACCCCGTCCCACCACGACGAGATCGCCACTGTCGCAATCCTTAAAGAACATCAGATGTGTTGCCGAGGGCACATGCACATGCGGGGGTTTCTAGTGCACTTATGCTAGACTCTAGACTCTACTGTAGGGCTTGCGATGGCTTGCGGCTGCTGCCCCAAGCTGTGCTGGCACCGGTGCTGCAAGATCTCATCCCAGAGTTTTTCCTAGACGGGATTCGCCGCCAGTCTCTTGCCAACGAGGAGCAGCCAGCACAGATATACGCGTTCTTTCTCTGGTTCGATCCTGGCCGACACAGACCTCGGAGACTCGGAGATTTGCGAAGGCTGGAATCAGTGCTGAGTCTCCAGGGGAAGGAGGCAATACTCAGGAAACCAAATGGCGAACTGTCGTGTTTATGCTAAGTGCCCAAAACTATACAACTACGCCTCATGCTGTCTCGTGTTCTGGCCTCTCTTCTTCTTTCCTTTCTGTTAGTGGTGCTTTCACTTAGAATGCAGCCTCCAGGTCTTCTTGTGCTTGTCCACGTGTTTTTGGGCCTTGTGATCTGCTGCTCGTGGGCTCCAATGTCCGGCAACTCGGAACCATTGCGGGCTTCAAAGCGTGAATCGGAATCTTCCCGAGGGAACTTAGCACGGGCCTCGGGCACTTGCTGAAACTGAGCAGGATCTGCCAAGGGGCGCTGACGCTGGCTGCAGGCTCGGCCGGATCGACGGGGCTAAAGCCTAGGACCGAGAGATAGGCACAGGCTTCAGTGTCACGGCGGTCTGCGCGCTAGCAACTCGTTTTGGGAACAGACTGAGATGGACCACCCATAAAGCCAGGACACTGAGCTCTTGCTTGAAGCCTTCGCCCTCACCTCCAGGAGAGATCGGGCAGAGACAGGTTCCAGCAAACACAAGCATTCCTGAACGGATTATACTAAGGCTACAAAGCCGGATGTTAGGCGATGCAGCAAAAGGAGGTCTGCATCCCATGAAGTCTTGAACCTCAAGGAAAGAGACCCCTAAAGGCGAGTCGCAGGTCTTCTGTGGAAGGGCTTTTGAGAAAGAGGTCTCCTGCACCGTCGATGATGCCAACAAAAAGGAAACACTGCTAGCATTGCCTCTCTGTTGGCTATGTTGAAGGCTTCATGGCTTCATGGTTCGACCGGAAACCACACCGCACACTGCAGATCGGAAGCAAATTTCCGGCTTTCGCCGAACTACACGGGTTTTGACATGGCGAAGGTAGCATACACCTCAGTGGAACGCTCTCCTTCGTGAACAACATCGAAAGAGTCATCACCGGTGGGAGTTGCACTGGCCACATGCTCTCTTGGGACAGCAGGGATGCTGCGCCCATACCGACAGTCAGAATTGAATTCTTATGGCTCCCCGTCAAAAATGCAGGGCACAGATCCGCCAGACGTGCGTGACCGGAAACGCCACTTCAACACGACGGCCAGTCCTCCGACTGGCCCTTGCGTGTGCCAACGCAGAAGGAGGACCCGTCATTGGCGAAGAACGTACCTGGTGGCAGCCCTAAACAGCCACGTCTAAAAAGAACGATGATCTGTCGTGAGAGATGCTCTGAGGATCCAACACTGTGACTGTCAATTGCAGCCAACCATTCGGAAATACGCAGTTTGATTTCTGGGTTCGTCATTGTATGATTTTCGGAAGGAGGGAACCTTCTTCAAGCACATTCCAGACCTGTTGGAACAGCCCGCCCCGCCGGCCCTAGCGAACTGCGATGGCAGCGTTCTTGGCCGCTCGTATAGAATTTTACAGCAAGCTTCTTGCGGGGCCCTCGTCGCTCTAGAGCTCCGTCAGCAGACCCAGGCCTCCGTGTAGCCACTTCAGCCCTTGCCAGGAGGTAGGGCAGCTTGTGCCTGCACAGCCCGGAAATGAGCCAGATTGCCAGCGCGGCACTCAAGCCACGGTACCAGGTACTTCTGAGTCGGTGACATGATGCTCTCAAGATTGCCCCAAAGCAGGATTCCGGCCTTTCACAAAGATCTGAGTCCAATGCTTCTCGTTGTCGCACCAGGAGACAGCCTGCCCGACAAGTCTGTATGGCCCGTGTTCCCGCTCCAGGTCTTAATGATAATTCGGCCCACAGGAGGGGACAGCTGCAGCAGCCTTTATGGACCCTCTGGCAAAAACTTCATCGCATGCTGCAGAGCTGAGTGTCCCAAGCTTGGCTGTAAAGCATAAATGCGACAGTCAGAACACGCCACAGACTCGCTCCGTGGATGTTGCGGTTTTGTAAATGCCAAATCACTGGAGGTGGTGCAACCAGAACCGAAAGCATCTCGGCATCAGCTTCTGGAAAAACCAGTCAAGCTGCAGAACTTGCGGCAATTTATTGCATCGACTCGGACGCAAGATCTAGGCCTGCCCTGGGCATTCAAAACAGAATCACACATCCAGCTGGTCGTGTGCCTTTGTCCCAGGTTTCGGAGTGGCGTAGGCGCGCCAAAGGCCGCCTTTAACCTCCGATAGGCGCGAGGGCTGAGGAACCTTCGACGCCTTCAGGGACCCGCCTCTATTCTTGTGCCCCCCCTTCATCTTGTCTTGTGAGCAAACACAGTCTTGCTGCTTGAGATGCCCATCGTCTGAACATGTCTGAACCACGGGGCCCAAAGCAATCCCGGGCCTGGTTCC